TCTGCCAAATGAACGAAGTTCATCTAAACTGTTCAAAGATTTGGTGGAAAAGAAGGGAAAAAATGAATATTTCCACTGTAAATTGATATTCACTTATTAAGTGGTTATTGAACTAAAAGTAAATAAAATGAGATAAAACGATGACCTGAAGTTGACCATTGATGGACAAGAGTGCATTTGCAAAGTTCATCTTTGGCTACTTCAAGTGTTGGTAAATATTTATTCATCTTGATTAAAGATGAAAATAATTTTCATAAACTTATTTTCCCTTTCATTAACCAGCTTAATCCATTCATCATTCATGATAATTTCATCAATATTTGAATAACTTTAATAACTAAAGCAAATGAAAAGTTGCAAGATATTTACATGAGAACTTTATCAGAATTGTATCAGATAGAAGCTTTGAATTGTTGCAATAAAAATGTTAAAAGTTAATTGCTGTGACAATTGAAAGGAATGAAGAAAATAATTGGATTGGAACAAAAAAGAGCTTGAAATTGAAACAAAAAGGTTAAAAGATATTTTGTTGCAGTTGTGACAGGGAGTGAGGTAAGTTGTTAGTAGAAAGTATAAGAAGAAAAGATTATCATGAAACGGTTCAATTGTATTGACATGTTCAATTAACAATCGTCACAATTAGTGATTCCTCCTTTAACTTGGTTCATTAGTTTTGGTCAGTTGTTCCCGATCCATCTCCACCATTATCATGTTTTTGTCAGGCAAAGAGTTTCAGTTGTTGTCAATACAAATGGTTTTGATAATGAAACGACAACCTAAATGATAACAGTTTCTGGTGAAAGGAAAAGTCAAAACATTGAATGTTGGCTGGGAGTAAAAATTGTGTCTAATCAGCAAGTTTACATTTACATTCAAATTGTATAGTTTTTGCGTCTCTTCATGGAAAATGCAAAGAAGAAAAAGTAAAGATTTTTGCAACTGGCAGACAGGGAGTGAGTTGAAAACATTAAATGATAAATTACACTGATTGTTGACTGGGAGTGATAAAAAAGAGCAACTTGAGACGAGGAAAATGTTGGTAAAGGTATTGATGAAAAAAACAACACTCCTACCATTAGTAGAGGTGAAAACAAGTTTCGTAATTAAAACAGTCCATTTATTTCAAGAGTCATTATCTTTCCACGTTATCCTCCTTTTTTGTCCATTTTTACCTCCCTGTCATTGTTTAGAATCGTCTAACCCATTATATACGAGGCAAAAAAACTCCCTTTGTACCTCATTTATCCATTGATTTTGGCCAGGGAAGAAAATTGTTAATGGAAATTGCTGTAAATTAAGAGTGAATAGTAAAAGAGGGAAAAGTGCGAGAAAAACTGGCCAAGGTTCACATGATGAGGGTGGTGATGGTAGGTGAAGGTAAGTGCACAAATGAGTCTGGAAAGGTAAAGATAAACTTGATCAATCCAAAGCCTGGGAGTTGCCCTGGGAGTTGGATATAATCTGAGGTACTTGGGAGTGAAAGATATGAGTGAGGCTGGGAGTGAATGCTATAAGTGAAAGCTGGGAGTAAAGGCTGGGAGTAGTGATTATCACTTATTGTTTCCAAGTGCAGGGACGTTAATTTTGGTGGTCAACTTGATGAGATAAGATGAAGACAAAAGAATCACTTTTTTTTCTTCTCTTCCTATTTGGCCCTTTTCTCACTCTTCTCTTGGTCTTTTTCACCCTTTACATCTTTTCTTCCCCCTTTTACTTCTAAGTGTAATGTACTGCAAGTCTGATCTTTTTTTCCTCTTCTTTTTTCTTCTTCTTCCTTGTATTCTGCTAAAAATCTGCCAAAAACATTTCGATTGATATAACTAATAATGGATTGCTTGTGAGAAGGGAAGGATGATGATGATGAAGATGGAGAGGAAATTGTTTCTCCGGAAGTAAACTTGGAATCCTTGGATGATAATTTTTTCTTCTTCACCCTTTTCCTGAAGCAATATCCAACTCATGGAAAAGAGAGCCAAAAATTGATAAAAATGGTTAACTGGAAATTGGTTTAAGGTTTTTCTTTCTGCTTCTGTGTTTTGTTTTTGTTTCTGGTCAGATAAGAGTGGGTTTACAAGCAAAAGGAAAACTAAAAGGTGCACGAAATGATCTCTTTTTTACTCGATTCAGTCGATTGATTGGTTTGCAGTAAAATTGGCAAAACTAAAAAGTTCAACTTAAAGGGAAGATTCTTCGAAGAACAAAAAAAAAGATTTTCTCATGATAACATCTCTTCTCATATTTCTTTTCCTCACCTTTACCTCTCTTGACTTTCATCCCTAAATTGGGCCCAATAATTCAACTTGAATTACCTGATTTTGTTCAAGAATAAACTTTGTTACAAATAATGATCAGTCAGTTTCAAGATTTACAATCTTTTATAATCAATTTCACTGTTGATTGAACATCCAAAGTTGAATCAGTTTAACCTTTAATCGAATCAAATATCACCAGAAAAGGTGCGAAGAAGAAGAGAATTAAATTGAAACAAAAATGAAGGTAAAAATGGTTACCTTTTCACGAGATAATCTCGTCTCTGGAAGTAAGTTAATTGTGATTACGAAAAGTGATGAGAGTCGAAAAATGAACTCGAAAAACATTTATCTAGAGATAATTGGAAAGATAACAATTGAATGGCAATTATTGGAGCAACATTTTATTAGATGAAAATGTATTTTCCCTGGTCAAGATAATTTCCAACTGATTAAACAGAATATCATTTTGATCATGGAACATCACTTAAAGATTGTTGCCAAAAGTGAACCACATTATCAAATCATCTCGTTATTAACATTATCATTCGGATGATTATCCATTTAAGTCGATAAGTTGACTTGCAAGAATGGAACAGCAAGAGACGAAATTGCTGAATCAACATTGAAACCCGAGACTTGATAATGTACTTTGAGTTAATTAATTTCAGAGTGATTCACATGAAATTAACTGATGATTGAAAGTTGCAGAAATGAAGAGCAAAAAATAGCAGAAAATTCATCAAAATAATCTCAACTTTCATCCTGAAACGCCAATCAAACATTTCATTTTCTTTGAGGCAAAAAAAGTTCTGACAAATAATGACACGAGAAGAAGCGAGGAAAATTTGAATGAAAATTTTTCCACAAAATGGAAAAGAATTTTTTTTCCAAATAAAAAAGAAAGTTTCAAGTTTTTTCTCCTTTTCATCTTGAGAGGGAAAAAATGAGTCAATATTGAAAACCATTTTCCATGATTCCATTATCATCATGTTTATTACTGGACAATGACTGCATCTTGAGAGAAGAAAAAATCGTTTCAAAACTTTTTTTTCCCTTCCAATGGTTATTATTATGAATATTGTAAAGTGAAAAGGAAAAGCCATGAATAGAGATAAAAAAGGAAAAGCATTCAAGTTGATATTATTATTGGTAAATTCAGCCACAGGGATGGGAGGTGAAACTCCCAGTGAATGATATAAAAATGATGGAAAAAGTGAAGCGAAGAAAAAAAAGAAAATTTCATTTCCTTTTTACCCTTTACTTCCAGCCAAACAGACAAATATAAATATTTATCTTACGGCATCAATGAGCGACTTTTCATCAAATCTTAACAAAATTTCAATCAGTTTTCAACTAAAGAGAAGGAAAAAAAGAAATTCAAATTTCTTTGATTTTCATGTTCAACTCGCAAGATCAAAGATCATTATTAATCTTTACTTTGAACTCTGAAGCTTATTTCCTATTCACGATCATCTTTGAAGAGAAGAAGAAAAATTATTTTAAAAAATTATCCTTTTCCATAATCTTTATTCATCATCATTTCCTCACCAAATATGTCTCTCATCATTAACATGATAATCAGTTTAATGTGTCACACTCCCTGTTATCCAATGTTGTATTGGTTATTGCATTTTGTTGCAATGAAAACTGACCCAACATTAAACAGGTTTTTCATTATCATTTCCTTTTATCATTATTCGAGTTCATTTTTTGGGTCCCTTTTAATGTTCTGCCAGTCAATTCATTTTGACCCATCCATATCAATATCCTCATCTCGTGATGATGATCACCATTTAATGGTCCATTTGGCCATCATCAAGTCATCAAGAGAAAAGTTCATCTTTTTTCCTTCGACATTTTTTCTTGTTCCATTGTTGTCTGTGAAACATGAAAACTCTTCATCATTTATTGTCATCAATTGTTTCATTTTCATCTTTTATCCAAAAGAAGATCTTTTTTCTTTTCCATGAAAATGTTCACAATCCAAGACTAATTTGCTTTGATTGGGGAAAAAGTGCGAAGTGAAAAAAAGAAGATACAAAAAATCGACATTCGAAGTTCATCAATGAACATTGATTGTCCATTGTTGTCGTCTTGTCATATGGTTAGCCAATAATAGTCAACATTGAACCAATTTTTGATGGAAATTATTCTCTTCCTGAGATTCTGTTGCTTTTCATTTTTACCTTTCAACGAGTCTTGGAAACAATGAGAGTTTGTTATTAGAGTAAATCATTCTCGAATCGATGCTTTAATCGCTTCAATCATTTCGTCTGTTACTAACTTTTGTCAACTTCATCTTCATCTTCATGAATAATATTGATTTGTTTAGGTTCATCCTTTTTTACCTCTTTTCACCACTTATTTTGGTGACTCAATTGCTTGTTATAATAATGGCTGACAGAAAGGAGGACAATGAAAATGAGGCGAAACTTGGAGCACAAAATCGCACCTTTGATTGATTATGATATTAATATCATTTTACTGAATATACTCTATGATAATGAGCACATAAATAGGATAATAAAACTCATCTTTTTCTCGAATCTTTAGTTTACTTTCCATTAGCTTATCATCCAATCCATTATTGTTTAATAGTCGCAATAAAATGCGGTAATATAATCATTCAACTTTGATAATTTGTTCAAGTTAATTTCAAAATTCTTATAAAATCATTGATAGTTATTTGCCTTTTCATTTTATCCACTTTTCTGGTAAACTTTAAATGAATTGCTTTTCAACGATTGCTTTGATTACGAATCAACTTTAATGGGAAATTTATTTGTTGGCTTTTTGGTACAAAATGATTTTTATTTCATGAGAATTGACAGAAAAACAAAATGAAAAGAGAAAAGTCGAGGAAAAAAACAATTTGATAATCGCATTTGTCATCAATTGACTTCTAATGATGAGTTTGGTAAAAAAGATTTCCTTTTGTCTCATTGCTTCTCCACGAGACTGGGTCTACTTGGGTAGTTGCTTGAACCGGGGTTGAGTGCATCTACTGGATCAGTTAAAGAGAGGAAAGAGACTTCATCATTCTGTGATAAGTAAGAGACACTTCGATGTAACCAAGATCTATTGTCGACTCGAGCATCTTTGGTTATTGATGAATAAATTTTACGATTTTTAACCATGTTTATGATGGCAAAACAGAGCATTGTGGTGATAATTAATGAACCAATTATCAGTGAAACAATTCCATATGAAACAAGGTTGGAAGTTGGTAGCGATGGCGATGATGATAGTAAAGATGGTAATGATGTGGGCGATGATGAGGTAAATGATAATCCGGAAGAAGATGGTAATGATGATAAGAAAATTAATGATCCAGATGATGATGAAGATGGTGAAACTTTATGAACATCTTTATTGATAATTGAACGTTTAAATGTTTCACTTGGACGAGTTGAATTGATTGGTTGGGTCAATGAAAATATCCCTTGATTAGTGCTATTTACAGATGAATTGGAATCAAGTTGATCACTGAGCACCATCAATGAATCATGTTTATCACTATTATTAACATGCAACTTGGTAGACGGTGCATCATTTTCATGATCATTATTATTATCAAATGAAACAATGGCTTTCCTTGAGGCAGTGGAATCAGTTTTATCTGATGATAGATTAGTAAGGATTTGAGGTAAACCATTGGAATCGTTATTATTATCATTACTATTGTTGGTAACAACAGAGTGACCCGAGGATGGATCGGTTGATGGGTAAAGTTGAATGAAAGGTTTATCATGTTTACCATTGTTGATACTTATGTTTCCATTTATCAAATGATCATTATTATTGTTGTATTCAGTTAAATGTAAATCACTTGAGGCATAATTTTGATGAACACTCAGTTTGGATAGCGAGTTGGATTTAGTTTGTAAATTTGATGAAATTAAGCCTTTCGGCAAACTTGCAATGGCAACATTATGAGAATCATTAAAATAATTTGTTTCCAACTTTTTCGACATTAAATTAGATTGCAACATTTTATACTTTGAACTGTTGTTTTCCATGGTTAAGGCAAGGTTAATTGTCGCTAAATTGTTGGACTGTTGATCTGTTGCGTTTAATTTGATTAAAGGTAAATGGCGAACTTGTTGAGGTAACCAACATTTAATTGATTCCTTGGAAGGTTTAATTAGCACATTTGGCCGAGTTAACCATTTACTTAGGTTTACATTGTCTTCTAGTGAACAATCAATACGATCAGAGTCAAAGGATAAGGTTAACAGGTAAGGTAATTTGCTGATCAAATTGGCTCCAAGAGAGGATAAATGATTACCAATTAAATGCAATTCACTTAGATTGGGAACAATTAGTCTGAGTGAAGTGTTACTTGAGTTTTCACAAGAAGAGGTTAAAAGTTTTAAAAAGTGTTCACTCAAAGGATAACTTTTATCCAAATTGAGAGACTTTAGGTGTTCAAGGTAAATGCATTTGTTGGTTGATTCATCAAAAGTCACTTTGTTCAATGTTGTGTTGGATAAACTGAGATGTTCCAAGTTTGGTGTTGATTGGAAAATTTGTGGGGCAAAGTTTACCATTTGGTTGGAGGACAAGTCGAGGTGTTTTAGGCTTGCTGGCAACTCGAGGTTGGCCAAGTTTAAAAGTTTATTTTTACTCAAGTTTAGCTCAACCAGGTTTACCAAATGGGTAAACACTGTTGGCTCGATGCTGACAATAGCATTGGCTGATAGATCAAGTCGTTCCAGGTTGACTAGGTAAGTGAAGAGGGTCAAGTTTAGGTTGGTAAATGCATTGTTTGATAGATACAATTCACGAAGGGAACTTGGCAGGTCACTTGGTAGTGTTGTGAGGGCATTGTGTTTGCACCAAAATTTGATGAGATACTCGAGTCTTCCAAGTGAATCGGGTTGAATTTCACTTAGTCCATTAGAGTCGAGAACGAGTACATTGAGATAGAGATAATTGTCTAAATCACCTGAAGCAAGGGAACTTATTTGGTTGCCCGAGAGTCGAAGATCACGGATAAATGGACTGATTCCGTGAGGAATGGAAGTCAAGGAAATGTTGGAAACGTCGACATATTTAAGGTGAGTAGAGAGAGAATCGAATCGGGTTGCAGGTGAAATGGGATTGTTGGAAATGATTAAATGTCCAAGTCGAGTGAGATGAAGAAATGAACCCAATTCGATGGTTGTAATGAAATTGTCATCCAAGTTTAAATAAGTCAACTTTACCAGACCTAGAAAAGTGTTGATGGTCAAGTTGGTTAGTTGATTGGATTGTAGGTTGAGATGTTCAAGAGCAACACATCCAATGAAAAGTTCATCAATGGAGGTTAACTGGTTGAATGAAAGGTCAAGATATTTTAGGTTGTAACTGGTTGCAGTGAAGATGCCGGCCTCTAAAGAGGTTATTTGGTTGAGACTTAGATCAAGTCGTTCCAGGTTAGACAAATTGGAAAAGGTTAAATTGGAAAGGGAAGTTAATGAGAGTGAAGTCAACTTTAATTCTCGAAGTGATTTTAAAGTTGACAAATAGTCGACTGAAAGGGAATCGTTGATATTGTAATTTTTAACCTCCAAGCGTAACACAGTTGATGGTAATTCGGGTAAATTTGGGTCCCATTGGTCATCACCTACACAACTCACGTAAAGATTGTCTTGATCACAGTAACATGAATTTGGACACAACGCTGATGATGCTGGTGATGCTGGTGAAGAGGATGAAGAAGATGAAATTGGAGCAAGAAATGAAGATGCTAAATGTTGCTGTTGAGAGTGTTTCAATGTTACCTTGCCTGTAATCTCTGATTGAAACTCTGTGATTGGAAAAGTTTTCACGTTTGAAGAAATTAAATTGAACAGTAAAGCAATGAAAAGGTGAAAAAATTTCCTTGAACTGGACAACATTATTAGCTTTTCAATAGTCTTGATTGTTTCACTAATATCTGGTCAAATGAAATGGATTAAAATGTTCATTCATGTTTCAATCATTTCCCAGTTTCCTTCAATCGAAATGACAATTTTAATACTTTTTCACTCAAAGAATCGAAATTCTTGGAATCTCCTGGAAAATATCAACTTGTCCAGTGAAACATGAGGCAAAGAATGTTTGATCCAAGTTTACAGTTTCAATGATTTTAATGATTTTTTCGTTTCAAACAAAATTGCTTTACAAATGTTGATCAACATTTCATTTTGTTTGCCAATCACTTTTGGTCACCAACTGTTGTTGAAACAAAATGAAACTAAACTGAACAACATTAAACATTTCAAAGTGTTGCAAGTATTTCAAGAATTTCAATTTCACTTTTATATTGTTCAGCTTGAACTCGGTGAAAGATGGTCACATTATTTAAATATAGTGAAGGGAAGAATGGTCAATGAAACAATGAATAGAATGAAAATAGACAAAAGTTGATTCTTTTTCTTTTGCACCACCCCTTGCGGAATTTAAATATTTTGGATGAGCAAAATGTTGCTGTTGAGTGGAGATTAAAATGGATGAAAGATGAAGATGAACTTTTTTGAATGCTGAAAGATGTTGAAATGTTTACGGATAAAAGTGTTAGTTGCAACTGAAAGGTTATGTTGAAGTGAATGGGGAAAATAGTGAGTCGACTTACAGCGAGTCGAATCGTGTCAATGATGATGAGGATGGTGGTGAAAGAAGAGAGTGAATAAAAAGTAAGAGGAAAGAGCCGGTGAATGTTTTGCAGGGAGGGAAAAGATGGAAAAATTGGAATGAAAAGAGAGAAGAAAAAATGATAATAATAAACATGGTTAAAACCTTTTTGGTTTATATATTTATTATTACATGAGTAACAAGAGACAAGGTTGAAAAGGATGAAAGGAAAATAAAATAAGCAGGAAAAAGCAAGAATATTGTGCTTTGGATTTGGGTGAAGAAAAGGATGAGAGAAGATGAAAGGTTGATGAAAGGACAACAGTGAAGGACTCGTGTATTAACAACAAGAAACAGGATTCACTTGGGAATAAGATTACCTGGAATGGAGTTGGGATGTTGATGGTGATTGTTATTGGGAAAACAAGGGAGTGAGCAAAGGGAAGAAGAGAGTTAATATGAAAAGTTGAAGATGAAATCATCTGAAAGATTGATAATATTTGTTTATCCAGAATCAATGCATCTCTCAATGGTTAGTTTGTAAACTTTTAGTTCAACTTGCATTTAGAGGAAACTCTTGAGAAAAGAGTCTTTTTTTTATATTGGTTTAGCTTAGATGAGATTAGACTAAGCCAAGAAACTTATCAAATTCAAGTCATTTGTTTGCTTTTCCCGTTTCCAATTCAATTATTGTTTCATTATAATAAATTATTTATCATTTGCGTTTTGGTGCTTTTATCATTAGAAGTAGCAAAAAAGTTTTTTGAACGCTTCGATGTTTTGCCTTTTTTAAAACTTTTGGACCACTTACTTTAACTATAGGTACTCGTATTTGCTAGAACATGCTTTAACTTTAGAATCATAAACTACTGAAGCGTGTTGAGCATGGAGGAGTGCAAAGTGCGATTTTCAGGTCTAATCCAGTTTTGAGATTCATCAACACCATTTATTAGACTGATAATGCATTTTCTGGATATCATAATGAAAATGCAATTAACTCGCAAAAAAAAGAATGTTTTTATGCAGATTTTAATAACTCTAACTAATACATTTCGTAGTTAAATAGAAGCGTGGATAGCATATAAAATACTGAATTCGCTACTTTATTGGACCGTCTGGTGCATATTAGATCTAATGAACATTTACCTGGCACATTTTATTCAAAAAAACACTCATAACAGGACAATTGATTCTCTTGTGACTCACAATGTGAATCATGCAATTTCGCATCAAATTGAATCCATAACACTAGAATCAGTAAATGTGATTCAAAATTTATTTGATGAGATTCTTTCACTCAAAAATCGCCATTATTTATGGCACCTTTTAATTTTCTTAATCAAATTGATACTAGGTGGTTTATAATCCTGACGCAAACTAGGATGAATTTTAGTGTGCCTTAAATTACTCGGCTATATTTAATTTATACAAAATATAATTTCTAAATGTCAACTTTATTTTTAAATGAATATAAAACTATCGAATCTTATCATGGTTGATTCATCGGATTTTCTTGGGATTTTAATATTTGCTAAAAATAAGAGAGTTGGCAAGCTTATCTTGCCAACTCTCAAACCAAGAGCCTAAGATTATTTTAGAACACATATGCATCCTGTTATGGCTGTGATGGAGATCTAAGTTGCCTCGATACCTGTAAAGTTTTAACTTTCAAAGCTATAACTCCCGAACAGATGGAACTAAAATTCAAGCTTTTTACAAATGAAAAGCATGATAATCCAATTGATTTCACGTACAATTTCAGCATAGATCAGATAACGGCTTCACCAATCGCAAAAGAATTATATTCATAATTCATGGGTTTAGGGGCGCTTTCGCGGACAATGACTGGACTGATGTAAGTAATTCTGAAAATAACAACCTTTCATACCATGTAGAGAAGTTTGAAAATCTTTTTATGTCTTCAGAAATTGCGAAATGGAATTCTAACTAGTCAACCCCACAAATATAGCGTATTTTATGTCGATTGGTCTAAAAGCATCCCAGACTTCAACTATGCAAGAGCTTTAAATAATGTGGCTGTTGTTTGTTACGCTCTGGCTACTTTCATAAAAAATTGGCAGAATTAGCTAACGCTAAATATACATAGTATATCCACTTAGTTGGACACAGCTTAGGAACGCACATCGCGGAAATTGCTGGCAGAAAAATCCAAAACCCAAAAATTTCCCGAATAACTGGAATTGATCCAGCAACACCATGGGTCAAGGGAACTTAAGGGTTTGTCGGCTTTAGATAGGAAACTTTCAGGTAACGAGAAAATTGATGTCAAAGCCCGCAAAACCCGCAATTCTTGCAAAAAATGCAAAGTTTACCTAAAATTTTTTCTAACTTTAATTCATTTTCCGGAGTTTGCAGACCTAAAAAAAATCATTGGCAATATTTAAAACGCTATATAATGTCTGATTTTGCAAATTTATTTGATTTTTCTGATTTTAATTGAAATAATCATCAATTTACTCTTATTTTGAGCTTACACATTATTAGCAGACAATATATAGCGTTTTAAATATTTCCAATGATTTTTTTAGGTCTACTAACCCCGGAAAATGATCCAAGTTAGAAAAAATTTTATGTAAACTTTGCATTTTTTGCAAGAATTGCAAGTTTTGCGGGCTTTGACGTCAATTTTCTCGTGAACCGAAAGTTTCCTGTCTAAAGCCGACAGTCCCTTATCCTAGTTTTTTATGCTCTACCGAATGAACATAGTCCCGATCCGAAATTATTGAGACACTTCCCTTGTAAGTATTTAATTGTGAATTGGGTAAATCTTGGTGGATTAGTAGTAGTGCGCATAGGATTAGATGTAGATGCAATCCCTAATGCAAGATTATCATTTTGCCTTGTTAATTCGTTTTGGGTTAGTTTTATTATTAATTCCTTAATTTTTCTATCTGCCTTTTCTTATTCTAGAGTTAACTTTTGGATTGTTTCATCTTTTGATTTAAGCTCTGATTGGGTAGAACTAAGCCCATCCATGCAGTAGCTCGTATGAATCTCTTGATTCCAATTTTTTGAGGTACATCTAGTACAATTTTTAACATTATGGGGGCAATTATTGATGTGATCACGACAATTACATCATCAAGTAGTTTGTTTTTATTTTCATTTTCATAATCTTCAAAAACATTCCCATCACTATGATTTGAATCAATTAAAAGATTATTAATCCTAAATGCTATTTTTATCATTTATAAATTATCTTTATCTCTGTGGACTTTCTGTTCAAATCCACAGTATTTTTCTTTCGAACTTTAATTAAACCAAACACTAGGAAACTGCTCGCATCTTGGAATCAACTACAGCACGCATTTTTCAATTTTTTAATTCAATTTTTTAATTCAATTTTTTCAAATCACTTTTTTCAAATCACTTTTTCTTTGATACGTTCATATATTTCTGTTGATTTATATCACCAGAGACTGTCTCCGATTCCTATTTCTCTTCCTTTTCAACATCACTTTCTCCACTATCGATTATTCGCAGACTGGTTCATCCAGGATAAAATAAAAAATGTCTCAAGGTCTCTGGTGATCACAATATTGCTCTTTTCTAGTCAGAGACCTTGAGACATTTTTATCTTCTTTTTTCTCTATGTAAAATGAGGAAGAAGCTAAAAAGTTAATCGAAATGGGCAAAAAGTAAAGGGAAAGCAAATTGTAGACAGAAAGTTTGTGAGACGAAAGTAAGACAAGATATTAAAGTGAAAATGAAAATGCAAGTGAAAGACAAAACTTTAACTTTCTGTTTCATTTATACTAACGTAAGAGCCTCAAATAGTTACATTGTTTCATTTCAGATATTGTTTCTTTTAAAGTTGTCTCTTTAGTGATCATATTCATTTTTGGATTCAGCCCTAATTGTAATGAAACAACTACGTTTTTTCATTCTTGTCATTTTGATCGTTAGCCAGTTCATTTCCGGCCAGTATGCGATTGATTCAAGTAAGTTTTTTTCATTTTGTTGCTACAACTTGTTATTATCAATATCACTTTGTTAAGGAGGATCTGTTCTGCAAATTACCTGTTCTCAATTTTTATTGAAATGATACGATACGATATGATCAAAAATTAAATCTATTTTTTCATAGCATGCATCAAATCTAATATTGCATTTAACACTTATTTTGGCTGAACTTCCGAAAAGCTCCCATCGTCAAAACCTTACCAGAAGCTGCCCCCAGGGTGAAAACAACACGAGAAAAACGAATATCATAACGAAAATTTGCGTATGCGCAGTAGAAAAAAATATGGATATAAACGCATATATGCGTTTTACAGTATTTTTCATAGATTTTACATTGAATGAGCTGTGTAAAAAGGAGCTGCAATAGCTGGTGAAATTTTTCTATTCTATACGGCCGTTTCGGACAGATAACCACCCAATAGAGCCTTGATAGTTATAAAAAACATTCAAGATACTATAGAGTTGGCATTTTAGGTTGGAAATTATCATTATTCATGAATTTGAATAAGTGAACAAACAAATACGTGTTTTATTATAAATGCATTAATACAGCTTATATCTTATAGCGTAGGTCAATGGTATTTACTATTGTAATTCAAATTAATACTAATACAGCTTGCAATAGCTAATGAAAAGAGTGCTTTGCAAATATTAACTGAAACTTTGAATTAGTAATTTTGCATGCTGATTAGAGTTCCAGGATAATAGTTTTGATGTTAAAATACATATAAATTTGTCAAAGCTAATACAGGTTGTAGAAAAATAAATGACAAACAACAAATATCAAAAAGGGTGCATATCAAATTGATTTCAATGAAACAAAGTAACAAAAAATTTAGAATCAATTAGCTAAGTTGCTTATCCAGCATGTTGCGAACAAACACAATGACACAATTAAATTATTAGAGATAATATGCATTTTGGCAAGGTGAATCAACTAAGATGAATAGTTTGAGCATGACTTTGAACACAAAATGATGAGTATATAAAGCGATCTAACTTTAAGTAGATTTATCAGTTCAAGTTTCAAGAACTAATAATAGTTCTTCAT